GTATGTATTTTTTTGTGTGTGTGTTATTTGACTAAAATGTAATATTGATCCTTAACATGGTGAAAAGCCTAATATAACTTTTCACTGTGGCATAGTTCTGAATTTGTGTTCATTTAAAGCCTCAACAATGGTCCTTTTGGTCACAACATGTGATTTTTGACACTATGGTGATAGTGACCTGTCCAATCAACAAAGAAAAGCATACCTTGGAGGTAAAAAAATGGGTCTAGAGGCCGGAATAATATTTCAATGTGACTTTTTCAGAGATATTGACAGTTTATTTGCGCTAAATATGACTATGATAATAGATTTAACATGGAAATGGACTTAAAATAAGAAGAATATATCAGAATTGGATTCCTTGTATCAAACAAAGTAGAGAAAATTACATTATACAACAATTTAAGACTAAAGGAAGCTGAGATGTAACCTTTTCTCTTTTCGGAGGGGGCCAATTTGGATTTTATGGATAACTGCCACTAGGGGGACCACCCCAACTTGTATCCATGGTTTTTTAAAAACCTTAGGCCTATACCTAACACCATGCCAAAAATCAAAAACTTTTCCAGAAGTGCCCAATCTTCATGAATTTTCACGTATTCCTTCCCAGCTATAATATGTTCTCTTCAATAGTGTTTTTTGTTGTTGTTAGGAAATTGATTGTGAATGTATTGTTTTGAATTTATCAGATAATTTAATTTAGATTTTTTTTAATTAACAATCACCTATTTACAATTGTACAGATACAGTGCAACAATCGGTTTAATAGAAATAACATGGTGAATCTGCTAGTCAAACAAACTCCCTCTAAATCTAGATGTGTAAATCCCATTTTTCTACCCAAGATCATGTTAGTCATCTAAATTTACCAGATTAATACCAGTACTCTGAATGAGACTGCATATCACAATGTTGAACTACTATAGGAAAGAACAACAGGTAGACAGTCAGCGTTCAGTCAGCGTTGGGTCACTTTTTTTTATTTGAAGAGACCGAAAACAGTGCAAAATATAAATGTGTTTATATACTACATGTTAGTAATATTTGACCAAGTTTTATTACATTTTGTACCTTCTGCTGGGTGGATTCAGGAAAAAGTGTCCAAATCATACAAAACAGTTTTGAACAACACATACTGAGGGATTAGATAACATGATCTAATGCCATTTCAGAAACATTTCAAAATTTTATCCAAACTGATAATGCCGTTAATACTAAACGATTTTCAAAGTCGTCTAATTGCTGAAATTTAATTTCCTACCGTTTCGGAGAGATATTTAGCAGCAGTCGTGGGTCTTTCATGGGGAGACTCTCCCTCATGTTTTTGTAATTTGCATAATGATGCGTTTAAAGGTTTATGACCAACGCATCATTACAAAAGTACAGAATGTTGTTGCAGATGAAATATAATGTGGATAATAAATATCTTTTCGTTAGGTTAGATACTAATTTAGATAAACCCCTTTATCTAAACCTCACTACTTAACCGCAGGCAGGACTCACTCATCCGCCATGTTTGTAGTTTTCTTACATTTTTTATCGGTGTTTGTAGTTCTAATCGAATAATTGTCCGGCAAACAATGGGTTGTGGGCAATATTAGCTGTTACAGTTCCAACCAGAAAAGTAGCCCTTTTGGGTATCTTAAGAATACTCATTTCAACATACTAGGATTTGGGACACAGTAATTCTAATTTCGAACACTAATAGTATGTGAATTGGGACGCAACACAGGAGTTCTTGTGCAAGACTGTTTTTCTTCCTGTTAAAGATTGTAGTCTGCAAAAAGCTACAGCTTTTGCGCTGATTTGCAGCAAAAAGGAAAATAAAGTTGCTGATATTTTTTTGCAGGTCTATGACTCCTCCCCCTGATCCTCTCTTACCCTGCATCTTGCCCTCTCATTGGCTGTAGGTCCTCGCTGATGTAATTTCCAGTCAAAACACATTTCACACTACAGGACTGAGTCGCAGACAGGTCCAGATATAAGATACATGATACATATTTCACAGGCATTGGCGAAGCATCAGCGCTTCTCTCAAGATGTGTCTTTGATAATTCACTATACGCCACTGTCACTCACGAGAACAAGCAACGTACAATTTCGGGCATTTGTTGTCAGCGATTTCCACAAAGCAGTCAGTGAGTTAAAAATCGGGGCTAAAATCGTGTAGTGTGTACCTGGCATAACTGAAATCAGATTACATTTCTTTTTAACAACTGAGCTCTAGAGATCTACCTTCCCGCTAGTGATGGGACGGTTGATACCGGGGCTCAGACGCAGTTTTCAAGCACTGTTGTATGACACACTGACTGTACCGATGCTTGTATCAAAATGACAATACCACATGATTGAAGGATTGAATGGTCGGGACAGCTGGTTTATAAAAAAATTGGCGCTTCGCAACACCAAATGATACATAAAAGGAAAATGATTATCCTGTCACTTCAAGGACTTCTGTGTTGAACGTCACACGCATCACACACATGACCAGCGTCGGCCAATAGTGAGCCTACGTATGTTTGACGTACAACACAGAAGCGCTGCTGTTACACTACGTGAACTATCTCGAGGCCTACAGAGAAGGAAATGAATACTTGAATAAAGTCGTCATTTTTGTTTGTTTTTGCGTTTAACAAACGCAAAACTTAATAAACTTAAGATTGAGCCACTGTAGTCACTTGGACTATTTTAACGATTTCTTTAATAACTTTTCTGAGCCGGCAAGTTTCATTCCTCTAGAAGCCTATGGAGGAGTGATCCAGCTCTCAGATTTCATCAAAAATATCTTAATTTGTGTTCCGAAGATGAACGACAGTCTTACGGGGTTGGAACAACATGAGGGAGAGTAATTACTGACAGCATTTTCATTTTGGGGTGAACTGTCCCTTTAATCATGTTTTATAGCTGGGGTCTCAGAGAACCCGAACAGAACATAAGGGTTTAAAAGCTCACTCAAAATATTTTTCAACTACTCGCATCAATTATTATGATCGCATAGCCCACTTGTATATCTTATATTATTGATCAATATGTGAATCTGTTGACCAGGCTACACATGACACGAGTTGTGGTCTCATTGGCACATATTCATTTAGATAAGATTAGATCGAATTGTATTGATCCCAGATTGATTCCACTCTTCTATGTCACACATTTTATTAGCATTGATTGGTCGCGTGCTTTTTCAAACCGCATATCATCTGCTCCATGATGATTTGTTAGATATGGTGCAGAAAACAAGGTTGACCACCAGATATCACTAATGTGCATTGTGTTAAAAGCTTTCAGTAATGAACCGTTTATCGGCACAATTTGATGAAAGCCTCAAACGCTTCAGAATGAAAGCCGGTTTCCCATCACTACTTCCCGCAAATGTCACCTCAATCAAACACCTGAAGCAGCTTATTAAGATCTTCAAGAAATCTTGATAGTTACAAACAGGTGTGTTTGATTAGGGTTGGAACTGAACTTCGCAGAAAGCTAGATCTTCAGGAAGAGGATTGTGCAGCGCTGATCTAAACGATTGATCACTGTGTTGAGCTAAAATAAGATCATTATTACATTGGAAATTTGAGTTACTCACCAGAGACAGAAACCTTGAATAACTTGAATGATTTTTTTCCACTTCTGATGATCTGTAGTTTATACACTCCAGAGTCTGTGGTTCTGGTGTCTGTGATGGTCAGAGATCCAGTGTGATGATCCAGCTCCAGTCTGCCTCTGAACTGCCCATCAGGACCATGACATGTAGTGGTCCCTCGGGTCCCTCCTTTGGTTTGAGCTATGACAATGTCTTTTTCTCCAAACATCCACAGGATCTCATCATTTGTCTGTAGTTCAGCATCAGTGTTCAGTGTGACGGGTTCTTTCTCCATCACTGACACTGACTCTGTCACAGCAGCACAGAAACAGAGCAAGTTTAGAACAAGAAAACAATAAGCAGCTAAAGCAATGCTCAGTATCTCATATTAACTCAGCCTCTTATTATATAAATGTAAATGTAGCTATAAATCTACTATTATACAAGTTAAATGGCTCAATTCCCATGTATGTTGTGATCCGTGTTTTGGACCATCATTGTCTTTGACTCATGTATAAGTTACTGTAATATATGTGGAATTGATTAACTTAACCGTTAGACTTCAGTGTATTTAATTGTGTCAGGAAACAGGTTTTATCAGAACTTATGAACTTATGATCAAACTATTGAATTTGTTCTACATTTTACTTTGTTTTCTCTCCTTGTTGTATGTTTGTACCATTCTACAGGTCTTATTTTGATTAACTGTAGACTTTATATTTTAGTATACATTGTTTTTCTTTATTTTTGACTGAGTTTTGTCACTATTGTCATAACTGTAGATGAAACATAAGATACTTTTTATATTCTATCAGTAGACTGAGGGGCAGAATTGTATTCTTTTAAATAAAACTAATTATACAAGATTTATTTCCTTATGTCCTAGTTTTTTTATTACAAGCAAACATAATGTTGTTTCCCTCTCAGTTGTCAAGGTCTTCAGAGGTCTGACATGAATCCTCACACACAGATCTGGTTTAGTCCAGACTGATACTTAAGATCACGAATTAATGCCCAGTGCAACTGATATTGACCATATTGATGGTCATTGATATCACATACAGCATCATTATATTTAAATGCTTCTGCTGAATGCTGCATATATAAGCTATAGTAGAATTAAATCAAAGAGAAAAGCCAAAAAACAAGATCAAACTTGAGATCTCTTCAGTTTTCTTTATAAAAACAATCACAGGGAACGGATGGGACAGTGTTAAATGTGACTGCGTAAAATTATTTCACTGATGATCAGATGTCAGTAAAACTGCAGTTTCACATCATCAAGACTGAGATTTTTGCAGTTCATGAATGAACAAAAAACAGTTATTGTCAAGGATAACTATTTGAATTCACATGATTAGTCTAAGTCTTAGTCACTCAGTGTTGATCTAAAATAAAATCATTATTACATTGAAAGAGTTTACTCACCAAAGACAGAAACATGGAATCTCTTGAATGTGTTTTTTCCACTGCTGATCTGTAGTGTATATTCTCCAGAGTCTGTGGTTCTGGTGTTTGTGATGATCAGAGACCCAGTCTGATGATCCAGCTCCAGTCTGTCTCTGAATCTCTCATCAAGAACAAAGATATCTTCTCTTTTGATTTCAGCTATATGAGAGTTTTCATCTCCAAATATCAACAGGATCTGATCATCTCTTTGTAGTTCAGCATCAGTCTTTAGAGTGACTGGATCTCCCTCCATCACTGACTTCTCTTCATCTGTACCAGCAGCACACGGAAACAGAGAGAGAAATACAGAAATTAGAACAAGAAAACCAAAGTTATAATGAAGGATAAACTGAACTTCACAGCATTTAAACAACTTCTGCTCATGTATTTCAAGGCTGATATTGGATTATTGAAGGTAAACACGCATTACTTTACGTAGAGCTTATGACCTCCTACTAGCTTCACTCTGCCTTAAGAACCAATGGTACAACCAAATAAAGTACAGTTAGTTACAAACTAGCTAGTCGTCTAGTCTAGTCCTCTCGTGTGGACTTTACTTTCCAATTTAAGTAAGAACTTATGAATGGCTGGTGTAACCCGACCCAGTTGCAAGACTGTTCTAAAATATAGTCTGACCAACTAGCAGCTAGTTCGTTTTTCAGATTCTAATTAGACCGAACAGCCTTTTTATGTTACTGACTTAGAAAAGTTACGACCAGTCTTGATGAAAAACATGATTTGACTAACTTTTAAGACTAATTTAACTAGTTTATGCAACCGTCCACCTGAATTTGAACAAACTCTAATGCAGTCTAGCAAAGCTCATTGTTTTTCCCCTTGCTTGTATTAGCCATAATATGATGTACTTTACGTTTTAGTTTAGAGTTCTTGCAGCGGTGGTAAATCACAACAGCAACTACAGCTGCACACACCAGCAGGACACCAACAACGATCTCCGCTTTTTCTCCTGAAGACAGAGCTGGTGGGGAAGATAAAGAGAGACAGTCATTAGTGTGAGTGAATGAGTCTGACTATAACACTTTGAAAAATTGCATTTGGCTAAAACAGTAAATATGAATCTGATTCTGTTTCATTTGAATCATAAATGAGCCTCTAATGTAATTTCAGATATTATGATTTTCTTATTCACTGTGTTCATCTTCTGTATTACGGTGTTTGATGTGAACACAGAGCTAATAACAAAAATATATATATATTTTTTTTTTTACCTTTTGAAACATGTCAGCGGTCTTAAAGCATTTATTGCAGATGTCATGGGCTCTGACATGTTCTAGATAACTAACAAAAATGATCACCGTATTAGTTTCTTCCAATAAAAAAGAAAAGCTTTGTTTTATTGTCTGAGAAAATTATAAATACTATATTAAAAAAAGCATACAAATAAACACTACATTAGAACATTTGTGAAATCAACTGTTAATTTTTAAATAAAATTAAAATATTAATTTTAATAAAAAGTGTTTGTCTTAAGAATCAAACGTTGATTTTAATATTACAATAATGATGCTATATTTTCTTTATAGCATCATATTCTTTACAAATATTTCAGTAATTTGCACAACAAATCTTTTGAGAGATTAACAAACAGTTAAATATACAAATTTCATGTTTAACAATTCAAATGTTTTTTTTAATTTGTTCATTTAACTTTAGGATTGTTTACAGAGCTCTGATTACACTTGACTGTCTTGACCAACTCACCACTGACAGTAAGAGTGAATCTCCGGTATATGGCATGTCTGTTGATCTTCAGTTCATAGAGTCCAGAGTTTGAGGTTCTGCATTGTGTTATAGTGAGAGATCCATTCTGGTTATTAAGCACCAGTCCATCTCTGAATCTTTCATCAGCACCATCATATTCATAGAATAGTTGGGCCAGTGAGGACTGGTTTTTATAGATTTCAGCTAGGATGATGTCTCCAAACATCCACGTTATGAAATCATCTCTCTGTATTTCAGTAAGACCAGTGAGTAGAGTGACCGACTCTCCCTTCATCACTGACACTGACTTCACTTCACCTGTAGTGACAAACACAAGAACAGAGAATGAAATGCTTACAGGAAGATTAAACAAATATTACTCTTAAAAAACGCTCACTAATAAAGAGAAGGAAAATAAATCTGATCATAAGATCAAGTGACTGCCTGGGTCTGATGTATAAATGTGTTCAGACAAAATTGGTGCTGAAGGGGCGTACTTGAGAATAAAATGTACAAACAAGCAGTCCCTGCCAAAACAATAAAATAAACTGTAACACGCACTTCCACACACACACACACACGAAATCTCTTGCATGAGAAGTCTTTCTCTGATGGGGAAAGGTGTGGCCTCAAAATTGAAGTCAAAATTAAATCAAAAAATTATTTTCTATTTTTTTTTAAATGACGTAAATATTGCAGTATTTATTCAAAATGATTTATCTGTCCACATCATAATTAGTTTTAAATTCACGTGCCTGTCACTCACATGAGATCCACCAATAGCAAACCAGAAACATCCAATCAATTCCCCACAGACAAAATCAAGCCCCGCCCTACATTTGTTCTTGTTCCGTCACAATAGAAAAGAAAAAACTAGACATGACAACACAACATGCCGACTTTAATATTACTGTCAGTTTCAGAAACAAATGGTGTTGTCCTGTTAGTAATAACACTATGCAATTTACAAATCAATATCTTTTTCCACAATATGAGGGCAATAGTTATTAAACTAATAGTTCCAGATAGGTATCTGTTTTAGCCTTTAAAAATTATCAAGTGCAAACAACTATTTTAATCTTACTTTTTTAGTGCTGATCCAATCAAATTCATTATTACATTAAACCCCGGTTCCACAGACCAGGCGTAAGTCTAGTCCCAGACTAAAATGCATGTTTGAGCTGTTATAACTGAAAGCAACTTGCACTGACCGACACAGTGCCATTGTTTTGTCTCAAGAAGCACATCAGTAATGTTTTTTTTCTAAGGCAGAATTATAAAAGATACTTTAATATCCTAATTGAACTAAGGCCTAATCCTGGTGTAATCTAAAACCTGTCTGTGAAACCAGACCTGAAAGGCACAAGCTACTCACCACTGACAGTCACATTGAATAACTTGTGTATGGTGTGATTGCTGCTGATGATGTCAACTTCATAATCTCCAGAGTGTTCAGTTCTGATGTTCCTGATGGTCAGAGATCCAGTCCAATAGTCCAGCTGCAGTCTGTGTCTGAATCTCCCATCAGGACCATCATGTTTAGAGATTTTTCTATCCTTTCTATTGATTTCAGCTATAGGAGAGTTTAGATGTTCAAACCTCCACTGTATCACATCACCTCTCTGTATTTCAGTAAGATCAGTGTTTAGAGTGACTGAATCTCCCAGCAGCACTGACACCGACTTCACTGCATCTACAGGCAGAACTGAAAAAAGAAAAAAAAGGAAATAGTCACTGCAAGATAACTTGAAGATCTCCTGGATAAAGCGATGGCAACCAGACGTTAGTGCACATGCAAAGTCTCCCGTGTGTTGTGCTCATAAAGAATCGGTTCTACGACTGAATAATCACATCTGCTTAGCTGATATTCATGACCATTTCTAGTAGGGCTGCAACAACTAATCGATAAAATCGATAATAATCGATTATGAAAATCGTTGTCAACGAATGTCATTATCGATTAGTTGGTCTGCTTACGTCACGGGGAGCGTTTACTGGTGATTGGTTGAAACAGGCCAATCAGGATGCTCTCTGTCTTACACGCGCTTCATGAGGCACACACGCAAGGTCTCTCTCCCTCCGTTGCTCTGCCGCGCGCTCGCGCTACACGGTTTGGAGCACAGTCTCTTCTGTCTCGCATGCGCGCTCTTGCTTGCGCGCTCAAATCCCGGGAGTTTGAACTAATTTGCGAGCCGCTATCAATATGCGGGTGACTTCCAGAACTTCCGGGAGACTTGGGATGTCTGTATTTTGTCTCGAGCATCAGGTTGCGCAATCAGTTCGCTCGCAACATAAGTGATGGATTAAAATAGTGCTACCGCAGAAATATTAAATTAAAACGGTCTTTACATATCAAAGCACTAAATATAAAGGCAGTTAATAACAGCAGCAGTAAATTATTGTTTTTTAGTCACTGTACTCAGTGGTTTTCAGCGAATGTTTGTGCACTAATGCATCATTTTTCCTGTCTTTTTAATCAAGCCTGTTAGCTTGCTGCGTACCTCCATTACGTTCTCTTTATATCGCATTTGTATATTTGTATATATTATATAGCATTATATATTTGCATTTGTTTTTCAAACGCGATCTACTGCGGCTCTATGTTCACACGCTTGTTTTCAGTCTTTCTATATTTATTTTTACAAATTATCCTTATAATTCAATTAATTTTAAATAAAAATTAAATTAATTATATATTTTAGATGTTTTTAGTTTATATCTTCACATCTGAACAACATGTCTGTAAATTTGTTTTAACAAAAACTGTGTTAAAACAATATGTTGGATATAAATGTTTTTTTTTTACATTAATCATGGTTGTCAACTTGCCATCAGCAATTATCATTAAAAACAATGCAAATATTGATATTTGTAAAACTCAATGTGTGGCTTTTGCACTTTTTAAAGTAAACTTTTACACATAAATATCCTAATTTAGGGTTTTAGGTAACACTTTATTTAACGGTGTCCTTGTTACATATGTTACATGTACTTACTGTAGTAATAACAGTAAATTATGCATAATTACATGCAACTAACCCTCAACCTAATCCTACCCTATTCCTATAGTAAGTACATGTAGTTACTTAATATTACTCTGTACTTAAATATATAATTACACTGTAACAAGGACACCTTAAAATAAAGTGTAACCGGGTTTTATTTAGTCATAATAAACAAAAAATCGAATTGAATTTATCCGATTAATCGATTAATCGAAAAAATAATCGTCCGATTAATCGATTATCAAAATAATCGTTAGTTGCAGCCCTAATTTCTAGGCATATATGAGAACTAGAGCAGATGCTAATTAGAAACATTTAGAAAAAAAATTAATACTCACCAGTGACATTGAATGTCTTGTTTCTGGTGCTGGTTACTTCAACTTCATAAACTCCAGCATGTTCAGTTCTGGTGTTTGTGATGGTGAGATATCCAGTTTGTTTGTCCAGTTTCAGTCTGTCTCTGAATCTCCCATCAAGAACATCATCATATATAGAGCTCGTATTGGCTCCTCTGTTGATTCGAGCTATGAGGAAGCCTTCAGCTCCAAACCTCCACTCCAACACATCATCTCTCTGTATTTCAAGAAGATCAGCGTGTAAAGTGACCGAATCTCCTTCCTTCACTGACACTGACTCACCAAACACACCTGCAGATAAAAAAGGAACAGTTAGACAAAAATAAAATAGATACAATTATAAACAGACTTATGTGCCCTCCAGGATCTTGTGTTCTGCAAATGAACAACACCTTGTGATGCCATCAACACTTGACCCATTAATACTAACACTTACTATTCTATTTCTTTCTAGATTCTATATCTATTTTTTTTTATTAAAAAAACACCTTGCTACATGTAACTGAGTCTAACTGAGACTAGTCACAGCACTTACATATTGTAGCTCTTTTGTTGGTTTGATTGTTTCTATTGTTCTCCTCATCTGTAAGTCACTTTGGATAAAAGCGTCTGCTAAATGATTAAATGTAAATTGTCATCATACAGATTTAGTCACGTAGTCTTTCTTAAAAAAAAAACTAATTTCATAGTTTACATTAAATTGAAATATAAATTACATATTTAATTAAATAATAGGCTACCAAAACGGGTAAGGTAAACCATAATCTAATTTTGTAAAGGTCTTTGATTCTCATTATGTGCTCATGAATTGTATACAACTCCTAAATACAAAACACATTAATAACACAACTGTGTCAGCATGACAAAGTAATGTGTATTTTTTTAGATAAAGCTCGTCAATCTGCACATGGATCAGGATCTTTGTAAACAAAACTTTCAAACAATTGTTAGGTTATTGCAGGTCTCTCCCCATTTACATTTACTCTTTGTCCGTGGCATTGATTTACACAGTTTGCACAGTAGTAGATCAAACTAAATTGTGTGTCAGACATATATGGAAACAATATATCATTATATCTGTAACACTTTACAATAAGGTCTCATTTGTTGACATTAGCTAATGTATTGTTTAACAAATAACAACGAGCAATACATTTGTTACAGTATTTATTAATCTTTGTTAATGTTAGTTAATAAAAATCCAGCTGTTCGTTGTTTGTTAATGTTAGTTCTCAGTGCTATAACTAATGTTAACAAATACAAGTTTTGATTTTAATAATGTGTTAGTAAATGTTGAAATTAACATTACTGAGCTTAATAAATGCTGTATAAGTAGGCTATTGTTCATGTTAACAAAAGTAGTTACTAATGTTAACCAATGAAACCTTATTGTGTTACCATTATATAAAAAACAGCAAAGGCGTTACAAACAACCATCCTCATCCTCGACCATCCATTTATTAAGAAACTGTGTGAAAAAGAATGTAAAATGAATGAAAGAAAACAATAGAATTAGGATTTTACAAAGTGAAACGAGAGTGTTTAAGAAATAAACATAAAGCTTACCGTTCATGACAACATAGAACACAAAGAAGAATAACACGGTCTTCATATTGACTTGTAGATGTCAGTAAAATCTGAGTTTATGAAGATGATAAGTGGTTGTTTGTTTGTAATAATCAGTTCCTCTGTAACGATGTCAGTCGCTCCCGATGATAGAGAAAATCACTGAAAACTCGACTGAAGCTCGACAGAACACTCCATGCCGACTGCTGATGGATTTATTTGATTAGCCAACATCTGTTACTGAAAGAATAGCCTAATACTACATATCTTTATCTTCTCTCCCGTAAAATTAATAAAAAGTAAGCAAAAAAAGGCCGAATTTTCTCCGTGACACTCGATTTATAGGTAGCTACAATTCAGGGGCGGTTCTAGGATCAGTGCCAGTGGATCTTCCCAATAAGTTGTATTGTGAAACTATCATAAAAACAACACGTGACGTTATATTGGGAGCTGTTCACGTCCTCAGGTGAGTGCTGTTGCCAGGCAGGGAAAGAACACCTGGCTGCAGCCTGCACGTGCAGCTCCGCCCCATACCTGTTATGAATGATAGAATCAAATTCAATCGTCTTTCACAGGCTTACATGATTGAACATTTGTTTGTAGTCGGTGTAGGACGGAGGACACACTTTAAAATGTATCTTAAAGGTAGGCCTATATGCACCTAAAAATGAAAATTCTTTCATCATGTCTTACCCTCACGTCGTTCCAAATATGACTTTCTCCTATTGTAGATTCCGTCAGTAGAACGCGCTCATGCAACGTTAAAACTAGGGATCGACCGATATGGATTTTTTAGTGCCGATACCGATACCGATTTTTTTCCCATCAGCCTTAGCCGATGACCGATAGGGGCTACCGATTTTCTTGAGCCGATATTTGGAGCCGATACATTTTGCTCCCTCAATTTACATCATAAAAATGACATGATGTTAACAAATGTTACAGGTCTCAATTTAATAAAAGTAACATTTATTTAACGTAAAAAAAATCAATATTTAACAAATAGTAAAAACATGTGAGGTAGAACAAGAACAAGTAGATAAACAATATTTAACAAATATTAAAAACATGAGGTAGAACAAAAAAAAGTTCACTGCTGAAAATAAATATTTAAGCATAAATAAAATAATTACACTATTGCACACAGTAGCAACCAGCATAATAAAGTGCACAGTGCACACTGTACTTCATTTTAAAAGTAACGAACTATTTACTGCCATGGTTTAAATTTTCTACATAAAATAAAATGAGCATGTCTATTCTCTAATATCACTGCGATGGCGAGGGAGACACACACCACACGCGTCCAAACCTCAGCCAGGTGGTCGCTGAATAAATCTCCCACAAAAAGCACGGAACAACGTTGGTATTACTTAATCCTATGACCAGTGTTCGTAACAGCTACCGTACGCATACTAGGGCTGTCAAAATTGCTCAAATGGCGTTTGTATATTCCCTCTAAAAAAACATATTTGAACATATCGTCGTGTATTTGGTCAATGACGCGCATTACGTCAATAACAGGACAAATTAATACAAAGAGACATAACTAGTAGTATTAAGTAGCTTATTTGAGTTTAAACATATTTGACAACGTATCACTACAAAAAAAACGAGTAAATCAACTAATGGCCAAGACCGCAGAGCTCACTCTGGCTCGCCCGGACTCGCAGGCGCACTCTCTCTCTCTCTCGCACTCACCCTCACGCTCTCCGCGCATACCGGTTTAAATGAACAACAACAAACAAATGTTGAGTGCTGATCAAGAGTTTTGTGCAAGCAATTTAAGGTATATAGCAGGCTTCATTCAGTGATTGAAACAAATACATTAATTGAAGTTTCACAGTACATAGAACCGACACTGAGCGCTCCGAGCGAGCTGTGCTGTGGTAACGTTAGTCTGCTACCGCGGGCGTGTTTTTCCACATTCGAATATTAATTTTCACCTTTAAAATTCAGTTTTTTTTAAACTATTCGAATATATATTCGTATTTAGAATATTCATTTGTAGTGTTCCTTTATCTTTGTAGTGTGGTGCCTATAATAAACTACCGACACATAAAGGTATATCTCCGAACTCGTTGTTTATTACCGAGCACTAGCAGCGTTTGCTGCTCGCCAGCATGTGAAAAGTAACACTCACTCGCTGCTTTACGGTGACCCCCTTATTACAACCAAGGTGGCCCTCTAGTGGAGTAAATATGGGATTACACCACAGATGTATTTAACACTGCACTACATCCCCTTTTTTCTCAGGGAAACAAAACTAGCTATAAATAGGATACAAAACACTAAATATAGCTCTTAAAGTCCACATAACAGGAACATTGACTTTCTCGTTTGTAGCAAACATTTTGTCAGATAAGCAATTCAATGCCTAACATTTATAAGCTTAATTACAAGGCAAACTTATAGTCAGTTCATACAGTAGTCCTGAAACCTCACGGGAACGTTCACAACTCGACCACTCCTGGTGATTGTGGTACTAGTTTTAGATAAGGAATGATCTGGTACATCCTGTGCAGACCGATCTCCCACTTCGTGTGCCACTGAAATGGCAGAGTGTGCACCGTCATTAGGCTCATCTGCAGGATCAAATGTTTCTGTGTGCTTGTGAATTGTTTTCCTTAGGTGGCGCCTGTTGCGACGAAACTGTCGTCCAGCTGCATTAACAACATTGTATGACCTTGGCTCATCTCGTTTAGAAACAATGAGACCCGGCTGCCACCCTTTGTCTGTTTCAATGTGTACGGTATTACCTGCATGCAGTTCTGGCAGGGCTTTTGCTCCCACATTGTAGTGACACGCTTGCTTCTTTTGCAGGGTTTGGAGCGCCTGATGAACACCTTTGGGAGTGGTTGGTCGCAGGACTTCACTGGATGCTGGTAAGGTGCTCCTCAGTACTCTTCCCATCAAAACTTGCGCTGGTGAATGAGGCGTGCCAGTGACAGGAGTATTCCTTATCGACAGCAAAGCAAGGTGATGATCCGTCCCTGATTGTTCTGCTTTTTTCAGGACGCTTTTGACAGTTTTGATAGTTCTCTCTGCCAACCCATTTGACTGAGGGTAGGCCGGACTTGAGTGTGTCAGTTTGATGCCCCACTCAGCTGTGAATTTTTTCATTTCATAGCTTGCAAATGGTACATGGTCACACACTAGCTCTTTAGGGATGCCGTGCCTGGCATACACTGCTTTCATCTTTGCAATGACTGTGGATGCGGTTTTGTCTTTGATATTCATCACCTCAGGAAACTTTGACATATAATCAACAATTAGAAGAAACGATTGACCTCTGATTTCGAAGATGTCTGCTGCAACTTTTAACCAGGGGAGCTCTGGTACTTCATGAGAGATGAGTGGCTCTTTCTGGTTCCTGGGCTGAAACTGTTGACACGTTGGACATGTTTCGACCATCTGTTCAATATGTCTGGTCATACCAGGCCAATACATGAACTTTCTGGCATGTGCTTTCGTGCGTTGGATACCTTGATGTGCGATATGTAGGTTCTTAAGCATCTCTGATCTCATTGTCTCAGGAATCAGAATCCGGTCAGATACCATTAATATACCATCTTGCACAGCCACAGTGTGTCTAACAGGCCAGTACTGTTGAATTGAGAGATCAAGTTGTTTTCTATGCGTTGGCCAGCCTGTCTTTTGCATCTTCATGAGAAGCTGGAGTACTGTCTTTTGCAGTAGCATCTGTAAGCTGCTTTAGCATGTCGTCACTGAGAGCCTGTGTTGCTTCAAGTGCATACACAACTCTTTCATCGCTGAGGTCGTCTGTACTTGAGTGCTGACCATCAGCAACGGCACGTGACAATGCGTCAGCAATTAACATGTCCTTCCCTGGCGTGTACTGTTTTATTCTGCTCTCCCATTGCTTGAATCTGTGTTTTTGCTGCCTCTGCTGCTCTGCAAATATCTACAGTTTTTTCAAGGGTCAGGTTTATTTCTCTTAAGAGCCTCTCTTTTAAACGCTGATCACCGATGCTAAACACGATCTTGTCTCTTAACATGTCAGATTCTGTTGGGCCAAACTCACAGTCTTTACTCTTTTGTTTCAGTTCTGTGACATACTTGTCGATGGTTATCGAATCAGGCATGGGGTAAGCCCAAAACTGGTGCCTTTCGAATACAACATTCTTTCTCGGCAAGCAATACTTCTCAAGTGCAGTTACAATATCTTGCATTGTTTCCTCATCCTCTTCAGGCTCAACGGATAGCGAATTGTACACTTCTAAGGCCTCCTCTCCTAATGCATGTAGTAGAATGGCTATTTTTACCTTCTCACTTTTTGAGTCTGATCCTGTAGCAGTCATGTAAATGTTGAACCGCTGTATCCATCTCCTCCAATTTTCGCCTGTATTTCCTGACAGGACTAATGGGGGTGGTAATCTGAACTGATCCATGATTAATTTTCACTCGGCAGACTCACTTTCAGTCACGATGCGCCGGCTTTCTCCGTTGCGTCTCAGTGCTGTCTAATGCAGGTTCATGAGTTCATGAAACGACTCTCTTCTGACACCATGTAGTGTTCCTTTATCTTTGTAGTGTGGTGCCTATAATAAACTACCGACACATAAAGGTATATCTCCGAACTCGTTGTTTATTACCGAGCACTAGCAGCGTTTGCTGCTCGCCAGCATGTGAAAAGTAACACTCACTCGCTGCTTTACGGTGACCCCCTTATTACAACCAAGGTGGCCCTCTAGTGGAGTAAATATGGGATTACACCACAGATGTATTTAACACTGCACTACACATTGACAGCCCTAATGCATACTGAACGGATAGCCTACAGCAATTTGCAGCTCCCTAAATACAATGGCAAGCAAGCAGTTTTATAGACGAGTCATTCGCGTTTTCCATTTGGACCCACAAACTTGCTTAGCTATATAGTTGCAACCACATAACAGTTATAGAGCAACGTGTTTCCATTTTCAAAGTGTTTGACAATATTTCAGCAGTCAAACAGTTAAAAGATGCTTTGAAAGTTTAAAAGTTACCGTTATCTTGAAGCGCAGGTTGCACTCTGCTAGTGGGGGAGGGGCAGTGCAGGGTCTGCACGTGAAC